TCTGCAAATAATGAGTTTTATTTCTTCCTTTTCAATGTGGATGCCTTCTGTTTCTTTTTGGTGCCTAATTGCTGTGGCTAGGACTTCCAGTAATATGTTGAGTAACAGTGGTGAGAGTGGGCATCCTCGACTTGTTCCTGATCTTGGAGGAAAAGCTTTCAGCTTTTCACCAGTGAGAATGATCCTAGGTGTGGACTTGTCATATGTGGTGGCCTTTCTTATATTGAGGTGTGTTCCCTCTATACCCACTTCATTGAGAGTTTTTATCATAAATCGATGTTGACTTTTGTCACTTTTTCTGCATCTATTGGGATGATCCTATGATTTTTTCCTTCATTTTGTTAATGTAGTGAGTGTATCACATTTGTGTGTGTGTTGAACGCTCCCTGGAATCCCATTCCACTTGGGTCATGGTGCATGATCCTTTTAATGTATTGTTGAATTTGGTTTGCTATCATTTATTGAGGATGTTTGCATTTGTGTGAATCAGGGCCACTGGCCTGTGATTTTCTTTTTTCTTAAGATTTTATTTATTTGACAGAGAGCGAGCACACACATGCAGGGGGAGAAGCAGGCAGAGGAAGCAGGCTCCCCGCCGAGCGGGGAGCCCGATGCGGGGCTTGATCCCAGGACCCTGGGACCATGACCCGAGCCGAAGGCAGGTGCTTAACTGACCCACCCAGGCACCCCGGCCTGTGATTTTCTCTTCTTGTGGCCTCCTCGTCTTGTTTTGGTATCAGGGTAATGGCCTCGTAAACTGAGTGTGGGCGTGTTCCCTCTGCTTCTATTTTTGGAGGTGTTGGAGGAAGACTGCTATTCATTCTTTGACTGTTTGGTAGAGTTCATCAATGAAGCCATGTGGTTCTGGACTTGTGTTTGTTGGGAGGTTTTTGATGAACTGATTCGGTCTCCTTACTAGTAGTTGGTCTGTTCAGTTTTTTTTAAATTTTCAGATTCTGTCTTGGTAGGTTGTATGTTTCTAGGAATTTATTGACCTCTTCTAGATTGTCAAATTATTGGCATATAATTGTTCATAGTAGTCTCTTTGATCCTTTGTATTTCTGTGGTATCTGTTGTAACATCTTTTGTTTTTGATTTTTGAGTCTTTTTCAAACCTTTATGAGTCTAGCTGTAGGTTTGTCAGTTTTATCTTTTCAAAGAACTAGCTCTTAGTTTCATTGATCTTTTGTCTTTTTAGTCTCTATTCTATTTATTTTTGCTCTCATCTTTGTTATTTCCTTCCTTCTCCTATCTTTGGGGTGCATTTCCCCCTACCTTCTTGAGGTGTAAAGTCAGGTCATTAATTTGAGATTTTTTTCTTGTTTTTGGTTAGGCATTGATTACCATGAACTTCCCTCCTAGAGCTGCTTTGGCTGCATCCTGTACGTTTGGGATGTTGTATTTCCATATTCATTTGTCACGAGGTTTTTTTTTTTTTAATTTGCCTTTTGATTTCATCTTTGACTCAGTCGTTGGTCAGCAGCAAGGTGTTGATTCTCCACATACTTGTGACTTTTCCAGTTTCCTTCCTGTAATTGCTTTCTAGTTTTGTACCACTGTGGTTCGAGAAGATCTTTGGAAGGGTTCAGTCTTGAATTTATTAAGACTTGTTCGTGGCCTAACGTATGTATATTCTGTACTGGTGAACGTTTCTGGTGTGCTTGGCAATGGTGTTTATTCCCTTGGTTTTGGGTGGAATGTTCTGTGTAGTTGTAAGTCCATCTGGCCTGACATGTTTAAGGCTGGCGTTTCCGTATTGATTTTTCTGTCTGGATGATCCATCCATTGATATATGTGGGTATTGAAGTTTCCTACTATTATAATATTGGTGTCTGTTTCTTCCTTTTGGTCTGTTAATATTTGCTTGTATATTTAGGTGCTCCCGTGTTGGGAGCATACGTGGTTATATGCTATACCCTCGTGTTGGACCTCTGTATCATGTAATACCCTTCTTTGTCTCTTATTACAGTCTTTGTTTTATGTATGTATGTATTTATAGACCAAGGGCTAGTGGGCACATGCATGCGTGGGGGGGGGGGGCGGAGAGGCAGAGGGAGAGGGAGAGAACCTTAAGCAGATTCCATGCCTAGCATTGAGCCTGACACAGGGCTCAGTCTCACGACCCTGAGATCATGACCTGAGCTGAAACTGAGAGTCAGACCCTTAACCAACTGAGCCACCCAGAGGCCCCACAGTGTTTGTTTTAAAGTTTACTTTGATATAAATATAGCTGTGCCAGGTTTTGTCTGGTTTGCAATCGCACGGAGTACCTTTTTCTATCCCTTCAATTTCAGTCAGTGTGTCCTTCCATCTGAAGTGAGTCTCTTGTAGGCAGCATACAAATGGGTTTTTTTTCCTTTTAGACACTCAGTGTCTTTTGACTGGAGAATTTATGCCATTGACATTTAAGTTAATTTTTTTTTTTTAAAGATTTTTATTTGAGAGAGAGAGCCGGCAAGAGGAGGGGCAGAGGGAGAAGGAGGCTCCCCATTGAGTAGTTATTTTTTTAATTTTTTAAAGATTTTTATTTATTTGACAGAGACACAGCGAGAGAGGGAACACAAGCAGGGGGAGCGGGAGAGGGAGAAGCAGGCTTCCCGCCGAACAGGGAGCCCGATGTGGGACTCGATCCCAGGCCCCTGAGATCATGACCTGAGCCGAAGGCAGCCGCTTAACGACTGAGCCACCCAGGCGCCCCGGCATTGACATTTAATTTAATTATTGATAGGTTTGTACTTATTGCCATTTGGTTAATTGCTTCTGGCTGGCTTGGTGGTCCTGTTTGGTGGTCCTTTATGCTGTTCTAGGTCTGTCCCCTACAAATGCAGCTCAGGGGTGAGTCCCATGACCCGCGTGGATCCGGTCTGGGGTGACTAATCATCCTGGTTTGTCTGAGACTAAGGGTTTTCGCAGGATGTGAGATTTTTAGTAGTGAATCTGAGAAAGTCCTGGGGAAACTGAGATACACTGGTCACCTCAGTTCACCCACAGAAGCAGGGGATCCCCCTCTGCAGCTCCTTCCTTTCTAGGTGTTGGTTTGTATGCTCCTTGGGAGCTTCTTGGGTGTGATCTGAAACTGGCCCCCTTACACTGGAAGGCGGGGAGAGACTGAAGGGAGGGGGGGCCAAGTGGGCAGGTGGCAGGGTTAACGAGCAAGGGGACTCACAGACAAGGCTCGGCTCATCGCGGGGGCCATGAGGTGGGTAGGTCCGAGGACCGATGCACCCGCCCACCACATCTTACGAGTCTGTATAGAGGCCTTAACTGGGTTCAGTCACAGATACTGTCCGGTTGGTCTCAGCATCACGTCTTCAGGCTGTGACCTCGGGGCCGCCTCCGGGAGCGAGGAAGGCAAGTGGGACCCACGTTCCCAGGACCGGGAGGGGGCTGAGGAGCCTCTGAATGCTGGGGTCCAGCTGCAGGGTCATCCACGGTCACATCCCCTCCATGACATCCCCTAACACAAGAATTTCCTTGCTCTTTCCACTCTGTGGGGCCCTGTCTTACTTCTTCCAGCCAGAATGTGACAGGGTTTCTGGAGGGTTTTTTGTTTTTTTTTTTAAGAGGTTTTATCCATTTATTTGAGAGAGAGAGCACATGAGAAGGGGGAGGGCCACAGGGAGAAGCAGACTCCCTGATGAGCAGGGAGCCCGATGCAGGACTCGATCCCGGGATCCTGGGATCATAACCTGAGCCGAAGGCAGACACTTAATTGACTGAGCCACCCAGGCGCCCCTCTGGAGGGTTTTAATCACCTGTCCTGCCCCATCATGTTGCTCTGGGTGGCACCTGGAGGTTTGAGGGAAATGAGAGAAAGTATGTGGGAACCCACACCTTTGAGGGTCCCTTCTCTGTTTCCACTCCACCGTCTGTCCACTTTTGGTCTCTTTTCAGTGTTTCCAGGTAGTTTCCTTTTGTATTTTGTTTTATTCATTTGTCTCAGAGAGAGAGAGAGAGCGCACAAGCAGGGGGAGTGGGAGAGGGAGAAGCAGGCTTCCCGCTGAGCAGGGAGCCCGATGCGGGGCTCGATCCCAGGACCCTGGGATCATGACCCGAGCCGAAGGCAGACGCTCAACCAGGTGTCCCTCCTTTTGTATTTTGTCTAGAGTTTGTAGATGTGAGCCACAGGAGACACAGGCTTTTATTTATTTTTTCAAGTAAATTCTACACCCAACGTGGGGCTCCAACTCACGACCCCAAAATCAAGATTCACAGGCTCCTCTGCGCCAGCCGGACGCCCTTGTTTAACCACAGTATTTAAAAAGCCTTTCTCTTGGGGCGCCCCCCCCCCCATCTTCGCCATTTTTAAGTGCGCACTTCAGGGGCATCAAGCCCGTTCGCCCTGTTGTGCGGACGCCACCACCGTCCGTCCTCCTGAATATTTCCATCCTCCCCGACGGAAACGTCCTCCAGTAAACACTGGCTCCCCCTCCTTCTCCAGCCCTTGGTAACCTGGAGAGAAAGGTTTCTGAAGCCTGCTTGGAAGTTGTTTTTAAAAATATTTTACTTGTTTACTCGAGAGAAAGAAAGCTAGCGTTTGGCCCTTAGGGACCTCCTGGCTCTCTGAGGTCAGCCCGTTAGCCAGGGTCTTAACCCGGGAGCACCCGTCTCCCCGGCCTCCCAAGCCAGGAGTCTGTTGGGCTCGGCTCGGCTCGGAGCCGCTCTCCCGCTGCCCTGGCCGGACCCTTGCCTGGTCCGGGCTACCAGCAACAGGGCAGTGGGCTCGGAGGGGCGAGGCCCGGGTTCTAGCCCAGCCTGGTGACGCACCAGCCGTGTGACTGCCAGCAAGCCCCTTCCCCCTCGTCCCGCGCTTACGCTTTGGGTCCATCCTTCCAGCGCCCCGCAGGAGAGGCCTGAGCGCGGGAGACGGGCAGGGTGGGGACTGGCAGCATCCTGGAACTTCCGCCCGGGGGTGGCTGTGATTTGCAGCAGGGAGCGGGGAGGAGTGCCACCTGGCTCAGTGGCGCTTGGGGTTCACAGCACCTGGTGTTTGTTTCCAGGAGGGGATGCAAAAGGGGGCGGTAGCCCCGCAGCCTCTGAGGACCCCCGGAGCCCTGCGCTCCCGCAGCTCCCGCAGCTCCCGCGCCGCCCGCAGCTCCTGGATGAGGACGGAGGGCCCAGTGACGAAGTGGCCGCCGATGGGGGCAGGCCCCCGGCCCCGGAGGATCCCTCGGCCGACGCCCAAGCCGAGGCCGTGGCCGCGGCCCCCGCCCAGGCTGAGGCTGCGGGGGAGGCCCGGCAGGGGCCCAAGGTGGCAGCCGGCGGGGTGCCCGACATCGGCTTCGTAGGCGAGCCCCCGCCCTACGCGCCGCCGGACCCCAAGGCAGTGCACCTGCTGTACCCGCCCTTCCCGCAGGGCCCGGTCCTCTTCCAGCCTGGGCCCTCGCCCCAGGCCCTGTACCCGCCGCCCCCCGCCACGCCGCCGCTCTTCGCACCCTTCCCGGTGGTGAGTGGGCCCGACCCCCCGCCTCCCCCACACCCCGGGACCCCCGGCGCCACGCCCACTTACTTCCCACGCAGCTCCCCCAGCCCCCATCTCCTGCCCCCCGCCTCCCACTCACCCCGGGGCCCCCTGCGCCACAGGCACTTCCCACGAATCCCTCCTTGCTGCCCCCCACTCACCACCAACCCCCCTCGCCGGGGGAGAGGTTGGCACATGTAGGTGATGAAAAGTCGCGACCCCTGCAGAGGGGCTTCACTGCCCAGATGAGGGAAGGGAAAGGATTCTGCAGCCTGGGGGAGAGGGAGGGGTGGGCGAGCCTGGAAGGCTTCCCAGAGGTGGGGGCGTTTGAGCTGAGTTCTGAGGGGTGAAGAGGAGCTTTCAGGTGGAGAGGAGGAGCGGTTCTCTGGGCACAGGGCTGGAGGGTGGCCGGTCCCCCACCCCCAGTCACCTGGGGATGACAGGGGTCGGCTCACCTTAGTGAGGAGGACAGGGTAGGAGGGTGGGACCCTAGTGAGGGCCCCAGGGCTTTTGGGTGGGAGGTGACTCGATTAGATTTTTAGAAAAGCCGAGAGACCGCGGGGTGCCTGTGGGGGAGAGCTTAGAGGCCCCCATGGTGGGAGCGCAGTCAGGGCAGGGAGAGACGGAGATGGCCCCCCCCGGGACTGAGCGGTTTGTAGAGGGCAGAAGCCAGAGGACTCCTGGGGCTGGTGACAGGCGGGGGGTTGCGGAGCTAGAAGGCAGAGGGGGGCCCGGACCTGACCCCTCGGTGACCTGCAGCCTCACTGGGCGGGCGGTGGCCCTGGATGGCTGTGTCCTCACCGCGGTGTGGCGGCCTCTGTCCCCGCAGTACAACGGCCCCGTGGCTGGCATACCAGCCCCTGCGGCGGTGGACCACAGGCCCCTCCCCAAGGACTACATGATGGAGTCCGTGCTGGTGACACTCTTCTGCTGCCTGCTCACGGGGCTCATCGCGATCGTCTACTCCCACGAGGTAGGTGGGGGTGGTCAGCCCGGGGCCGCGCTCCCTGCCCGTGGCTGGAAGGGAGCCCCTGGCTGGCAGGGAGCCCCTGGTCCAGCCACCAGCTTTCTCAGGAGGGTGGCAGGAACCGGGGGATAAGTGCTCGGTTGTCCGGGCGTCCTTGTTCATCTTCGATGGCCACCTCCGCCCCTCCTGTCTCTGCCCCAGACCACGGGAGATCTGCACTAGAAAATCCCGCTAAACCAGTTTCTAATAAAGGTGTGAATGATTGATAAGGCCCAAGGAACTGCCTGCCTCAGTGGGAGCTTGTGTTCAATGGGGTAGAAACTGTCACCCATCCACCCACACATTTCTACCCATCTCCCTCTATCCATCTACTCCTCTGTCTACCCACCCATCCATCTGCTTACTACCTCCCTAGTCTCCATTCATCCCTCCATCTGTCCACACGCTCTCCCACTCACCTCTCTATTATCTGTTAACTCAGCCACCCACCTGTCCCTGTCTACCCACCACCATCCATCCATCTGTCCGTCCGTCCATCCATTATCTGCACAGCTTCCTTCCTTCCTCCTGACATTCCTGACCAGGCATGGGGTTGGTCCCTGGGGACCCAGTGATGCCCGTGTGAGGATGTTCCAGGAAACAGAGTAGCAAGCCCCTGGGGGCTTCTGCGCAAAGCAGACCCAGCCGTGGCCCTGATGTCCCCCCGTCGGTCAGGTTCACCCCGTCATGAAGCTGGGATGGTGGGGAGAAGGCAGTTCTCAGGACTGCGGGGAGGCGGGAGTCTGGAGGCCACTGGCCGCCTGCCTGTGAGTTCTGGCTCCAGGTGGGTCACTGAACTGAGCCTCGGTTTCCTCCTCTGCAGGGTGGGGGCAACAGCGGCCCCAGTCTCGGGAGGGTTGTGAGGGGGGCGGGGGAGGCCGAGGCTGTGGCTTGGGGCCCGGCCCGCGGGGCAGGTGCCCAGGAGCGGGCGGCCGTGGCCTCCCCGGCTGTTGCTGCTTCCCACGCGGTGGCCTGGGCAGGTCGCAGGCTTCTCAGGGTGCCCGCAGTCCGGGCTGCATGGGGGGGCGCGGGGGCTCCGCGTCCACGCCCGGCCTCCGTCTCGTTGCAGACGCGCGCCGCCCTGAGCAGGGGGGACCTGGTCCAGGCTGAGGAGGCGTCCCGCAAGGCCCGTTCGCTCGTGCTCTTCAGCCTGCTCTTCGGGGTCTTTGTGTCCACCAGCTGGGTCATCTATGTGGTCGTGGCGCTCTACCTCCCCTGAGAGCTGCTGGCTCCTTCGGGGATGCTGGGATGCACAAGGACCCCCAAGCTGGACAGACTCTTGCTGTGGACTTTGACCCCCGCCGCGGGCCATCGGTTGTCTACAGAGGGGCCCCAGGGCCGGAAGAGGGTGGGATGTGCCGCCCTGGGCGCACCTGCAGCTGGGCCCCAGCCCCTCCAGGTGGCCTCAGGCAGCGTCCTAACCTGAACTGGCCCCAGGGCCCAGGCCCACCGGAGCCCCCATCCTCTGTGCTTCCTCCCAGGGTCTTTCCGGGGCTGTGCTGGCTGGGCCCCAGGACCCTTGCCTCCACCTTATGCCCGGGAGACCATCAAAGGGACCAGAGCTGTCCTTGTCCTCAGAGCCATCCGGAAGGACACTGCCAACTCCGGCCTCCCCCCACCTGCAGCCGGGCCTGGTGACTGCCGGGCAAAGCTGCTGGCGTTTGGTCTTCCCTGTGGAGGAGCTGAGTGGCCTCCTCTCTCCCTGGTAGCTCCTGGCTGATCGTTCTGAGCCCCTGCCCCGTCCCTGGAGACAAGTGCTCTCATGCTGACTCCGTGTCCAGAAACCAAGGCCGCCGTGTCTGGTCAATAAACAAAAAGCAATCCCCTGGGCAGAACTTCATGTTGCTACTTCCTGGCTCCCTTGCAGGGCGCGCGGCAGCATCTGCCCCCAGCTGGGCTCGGGGGGCTCCCCTGGCTGCCCCTCTCTGAGACGCTGTTCGCATGAAGGCAGCTCGGGCAAGGGTCTGTTTGTTGCTCACGTTGTGTGGCCCCTCTGAGATGTGACCCACTACTCATGGGGCTGCTTTACCAGAAACTTCTTTCTTCCCTCCTCCCCGCCTCCTGCTTACTCCGTCTGCAGTCTTTCGGCTCTGCCCCACTCCCACTCCCACTCCGTGCACATTTTCTGGTCCCTCCTTCTGTCCCTAACTTTATCGCCCACCCATGGAGGATCCACTGGGTCCCTGTGTGGCGAGGGCCACCCTGACCGGGGAGCACTCAGGTTGCCCTAGAGGCTGCTGGATGGCCTATAGAGTTGTACGTGGGTGTCCCTGCATTGTGCTTGGAACCCCAGTCCAGTCAGCTGTGGTCCTGAGAACAGCCTTCCACGTTAGCAAGACTCAGAACGGTCTGCAGAGGAAGGGGGCTTAGGGAGCAGGGAGTGGAGGCCCCCTGCGGCTCCCCAGCCAGTGACCTTCTCGCTTGGCCAGGCCCCAGCCGAAAGAACAGTCCTTGCCTTCAAGGAGTTTCTGGTTTCTTGAGCAAATTGAGATTTCCCCATCTGTAAAATGGGGTGGCGGCAGTATGACCTGTCCCTGGAGTTGTGGGCAGACTCGGTGGAGACCCCATGGGTGTTCAGCACAGCGCCTGGCTTGTGGCGAGTGCTCGGAATGGACCAGCTGCGTAGGGATGGTGAGGATTTCTGTAGGGAATCCCACAGCCAAAGGTTTTGGGAGAGCAGGGAGCAAGGGTCTTACCCTGGGCTTAAGGACAGCCAGGAGCTTCCCAACCAGCAGGGAGAGAAGGCCATTCATGGGCGTGTTCCTGGGAAGGTGTCCAGATTCTCAAAGGGGTCTGTGAGTCGAGATAAAAACCCATCTGCTTGGAGAGGAGGAAGGCCCCCCGTCCCTCAGCTGAGCCACTCAAGAAGGACCGCTCGAGTGAAGTCAAGTGAATCTGAGCACCCACTGTGTGCTACTCACAGCCCTGCCACCTGAAGCAGGGGTACGTCCGTCTCAGCCTGGAGATGCTCTGGGGAGCCGAAGAGACACGGATGGGGAAGTAAGGTGAGCGAGGATGGTGAGCGAGGATGCCGGGGGGTTGAGAGGTGACCTCCTGTTGGAGGGCACAGGGCTGGCCCAGAATTAGGATATCAAACAGTAGGATGCAGGACAGTCACCAGGGAAGAATCCCTTTTTTAGGGATCAGTAGATGCCAGAAAGTAGTTGGTAGCATCAGATAGCCACAACTTTAATTACTAAACTCTTAAGTAAAATCAGGATAGGAAGAAATCGTCTAGACCAGCGTTCCTTGAACACGATGTAGGAAATACCTGGCAAATCTTGTTAACGTGCGGGTTCTCGTGCAGTCAGGACAGGCACCGACAGCAAATGGCACATTAGGTGGAAAATTACCTATTAAATTACCATTAAAAGCCATTATAACCAGGACCAAGCTGTGGATGGTTCTAGCTAATGTAGAAAACAGAGTGAAATCTGTCGTATAAAAACTAGGAAGAGACCATGATTGTCTAGCTGGAATATCTAAGAGGCGGTGGTTGGATATAAAATCTACAAAGAGTCAACAGCAATAATTAGTTAAAAGTGGAAAAAAAAATTCCATGCACCATAGTATAAAAACAGCAAGATCTAGGAACAGATTTAACAAGAAAGATCTAGATCCAAATGAAGGATGATTTTAAAAAAAAAAATACCAAAAGACAAAAAAAAACCCCAAAACGGACAAAATATCTGGATAGGAAAATATAGTGTAAAGATATTTAGCCTTCTTAGAGATTCTAATTAAGTTCCCACAAGGAAACCATGCTTTTAAGACTATGGAAAAAATGTTTTTAAAATTAATATGAAAGGAAAATGTACAACAGTTGCGAATATATATTTTTTTAAGTTTAATGAGGGGGAACTTTCTGCACCTGATGCTAAAACTTACTCTAAAGCTACAATAATTAGGACAGCATGGGGCGCCTGGGTGGCTCAGTGGGTTAAACCTCTGCCTCCGGCTCAGGTCATGATCCTGGGGTCCTGGGATCGAGCCCCAAGTACAGGCTACCTGCTCAGAGGGGAGTCTGCTTCTCCCTCTCCGTCTGCATTTGTGTTCTCTCTCTTAAATAAAATCTTTAAAAAAAAAGAGAGAGAGAGAGAGGGAGGGGGAGAGAGTACAAGCAGGGGGAGAGGCAGAGAGAGAAGCAGACTCCCCGTTGAGCAGGGAGCCCTGACATGGAACAGGGGACCCTGGGATCATGACCTGAGCCGAAGGCAGACGCTTCACCAACTGAGCCACCCAGGTATCCCTCAAATAAATAAAATCTTAAAAAAAAAAAAAAAAAATCAGGACAGCATGACTTTGCCACAGAGATAGGTCAGTGAAAAACAGAAAGTCCAGAAAACATTCCGAGTGTGTGTATCAAAATGGCATTTAAATTGGGAGAGTCAAGGAAGGCTCATAATACGCAGAGTTGGTTATCTGGTTATCTGAAAAAATAATTCTCTATAATTGTACGCAAAACTAAATTCCAGATGGGCTAAGGAGCTAAGTGTAAAATAGCCCTCCACTGGAGACAGAGGAAGGTGGAGGAGGTCTGTAACTCGGGGTGCTGGGTGGGACAGAGGGGAGGCTGCTTACGTCTGGAAAACCACTCGGAAAGACTGTGTGTCCAGGGAATGCGGATCTGGACCACAAGGTGGCTTCTGCTGTCAGACGAGAAAACTTGGTGGAACATATCCAGCGTTGGCGAGGGACCCGGCTCAGACTCTCTCATTGCTGGTGCGTGCGCTGCCACGGTGTTTGTGCTACGTAGACAGCTGGCCTCTCTGAATAATGCCCCGCGTATTCACATGCGTGTACGTGCAGAGAACAGTCTAGAAGGATGCATTCTCAACTGCTGACAGTGGCCGGCTTTGAGGAGGGAGCAGGGCGAGGAGGGTTTGCACACTGCATGCCGCACTTTAAAACAGAGCTGCGCTCGTGTGTCGTGTGATTAAAACTAACTGAAAATGTGCGTGGCTTTCGGCCTGGCAGGTCGAGTTTTAGGGTTCGCAGCAGTGAAGGGGGACAGTCTGTTTTCCCAAAGCTTCCGGTCAGACCGTGTAGATTCCAGCTGTGCCGGAGTGCCACGGGGGAGGGCGCTGGGCGAGTCTGAAATGTCGAGTGGAACCGAGGAGGAACGGGTTCGGGTGCATCCTGACTGCACAGATGTCGCTCTCGGGCGGCATCGAGGTGTTTGCCCAGAACGTGGTAAAGGAAGGCTTTCCTGCAGACCTTGGGGTCCATTAAAAAGCGCAAGGAGATGCTGCCAACCTGCACCCCCAAGTGGACTGTATCATTCTGCATCCTCCCCACCCCCCAGCAACGGAGGGGGCGGCGGTGGCTCCCCTTCTCAACCCCGGGATCTGTCCGTCTTTAAGTTGTGGGGCTGCTGGTAGTGGAATCGTAGTGGGGTCAGTGTGGCTTTAATCTGCATCTCTCTGATGACGGTGATGCTGGGCCTCTTAACACATGCTTGTCATCGCCTCATGATGTGCCTGTGCAAGACTTGGGCCCATTTGTGTGCTGGACTGTCGTCTTACCAAACGAGAGTTCTTTATGTATTCTGGCAATGAGTCCTATAGTCTCCCTTTTCACTCTCTGTGGGGTCACCTGATGAAAGCAAGTTCTCAGTTGTAATATATACCAATGTATCTTTTTCTTTACGGATAATGCTTTTTGTGGCTTAAGAAAAATTCCCCCATTCCGAGGTCATGAACATAGTCTCTTCTGTTGTCTTCTAGATCTAGAAACTTTACTGGTGGTGTATTTTCACATCTGGATCGGTCACCTACCTGGAGTAGACTCCAGAGGTCCATTTGTCTATTCTTGTTCCGTGTCATGCTTCATTACTGTGGGAGGATAGTAAGTCTTGATACTGGGAAGGTCAAGCCCTCCCACCATCTTTAAGGCTCTTGGCCATTTAAAATCATTTCTATTTATAATGAACTTTAGAATTAACTTGTCAATTTTCACCAGAATAAAGATTGGGATTTTGACTAGGATTGCTTTAAATCTATGGATTAATTTGGGAACTGGTATTTTTATAGTGCTAACTTTTCCAACAAAAATGGTGAATTTCCTTATTTGTTTAGGTCCTTAAAACATTTCCCCGATTTCGTTTTCTGTGCAGAAATACTGTACATATTTTGTTAGTATCCCTGGGTATTTGATTTGATGCTATTATAAATATTTTAATATTTTTCTTTTGTTACTTGCTAGTGTACAGAAATATAACTGATTTTTTCTTTAAGATTTTATTTATTTGACAGAGAGAGACATAGCGAGAGAGGGAACACAAGCAGGGGGAGTGGGAGAGGGAGAAGCAGGCTTCCCTCGGAGCAGGGAGCCCGATGCGGGGCTCGATCCCAGGACCCTGAGATCATGACCTGAGCCGAAGGCAGACGCCTAACGACTGAGCCACCCAGGCGCCCCTACAATTAATTGATTGTTGATTTTGTATCCAGCAATCTTTCTAAATTCACTTATTCTGATAATTTATCTGTAGGTTCTGTTGAATTTTGTTTCCACAGCATTATCTGTGTAATGAGTTGTCTTATTTCCCAACCCTTAGCCCTGTGTGTGTGTGTGTGTGTGTGTGTGTGTGTTTGCCTTCCTGCATTGGCCTGGACCCTAGAACAGTCCTGGGAAGAGATGCCACAATGTCAGCCTTACCTTTCTCCTGGTCTCAGAAGGCAGGCTTTCAACATTCTGCCTTTTAAAAATAATAGATAAGCTTTTCAGATTAAGGAAGTACCCTTTTATTCCTAGTTTGCTCAGAGTTAAAAAAAAAAATCGTGCATGGATATTGCATTTTACTAAATTACTTTCATGTATCCTC